GGTGTGTGTGTGGTGTATGTAGTGAGGCCGGAGGACAACTCCAGGGAGACAGTTCTCTCCTTCTACCGTTCACGTGGGTCCCAGGGACTGAACTTGGGTTGTCAGACTTGCATCTTTACTCACGTGCCAGCCTTCCTTGGCTGTGTAGTTGAGACTGGCCTTGAATTCAGAATTCTCCATACTGGCTACAACATCTAAAATATTAAAAAGAATTTTACTCTTTTCTTTTTTTTTCCAATTTACTTTCTGGTCTGGAAAGATGGCTCAGTGATGAAGAGCATTTGTTGCTCTTTCAGAGAACCCAATTTGATTCTCAGCACCCACCTTAGATAGTTCATAGCTACCTGTAAATCTAGCTCCAGGGGATTAGAGACCCTTTTCTGTACCTGTGGTCACCTGTACTCAGAAGTGCACATGCCCACACACTTAATAAGAAGAAAATTGTTATTACTATTACTATTTTTGGGGGGAGGTTTTTCAATGCAAGGTTTCTCTGTAACTTTGGAGCCTCTCCTGGAACTTGCCCTGTAAACCAGACTGGCCTTGAACTCGCAGAGATCCATCTGCCTGCTTCTGCTTCCCGAGTACTGGGGTTATAGACATGCGCTACCACCGCCCAGCTATGAGTGTTTGTTATACTCTTGTAGAGCCACCAGCCCCTCAGTCCCCACTGGTTGCATATTAAGATGGATGCCAGCTTTGGACTTCTTTATCAATCCATTTCCCCAGGAGTTCCCTGAGTGGGCAACTGTGGGCTCTCTGATTTCTGATGGTTCTGACTTATAGGAACTTCCCTGGGGTTAGGGATGTAGACTACTTGGTACTTTACTAGCTTTTATGAAGTGATGACTTAGATCCTTGATACCTATACTGCATAAACCGGGCATGGTGGCACTTGCACGTACTTCCTGTACTCAGTGGTGGAAAGAGGACCAGAAGTTCAAGGTCATCCACTGCTGTATAGTCAGTTTGAGGTCAGCCTGGGATATGTTGAGACTTTGTTTCAATAACGACACCTTTCTTATATTCTGTATAACTTCAACCATCTTTCTGTGCATGTGCACACACATTTGTGACTATGTGTATACTCATATATGTGTGTGAATGCATGAGTGTGTGTGTGTGTGTGTGTGTAGCAGCCAACATCAGATGTCTTCCTCAATTGCTGTCCATTTTATACTTTTGAGCTTGGAGCTCACTGATTCGGCTACAGACCCTTGAGATCACAAGCATTGCTGTCACGCTGAGTTTTTATGTGGATGTTGGGGGTTGAACTCAGGTCCTCATGCTTTTCAGTGAGTACTTTACTACTGAGCCACCTCCCACCACTGAATTCCAATGAGATAGATGACATTGCACGAAAATGAACTGGACAAGATTCTTCACTGATGAAAATAATATAAATGTCCACAATTGCAGAGCTGGTTGAATTAATTTTGGTAAAGATCTCTAATTAAATACCAAGCAGTCACACAGATGTATAATGCAATATCTTTTGAGAAGGAAGAATACTTACACGTTATCTTTGAGTGAAAGATCACGGGACAATATCAAGTAACTAATTCTGGGTTCTCCAGAATTAAAGATTTTTAGGTGATTTTAGCTAATTTAAGCTCTCCCGTATCCTTTGCCCTGCTGCGGGTATTGGATAGTTTTGATGGCCAGCAAGACCTTCTGCTCTCATTTTACAAAACCAAGTTAAAGGGCTGGAGAGATGGCTCAGCAGTTAAAAGCATTGCCTGCTCTTCCAAAGGTCCTGAGTTCAATTCCCGGCAACCACATGGTGGCTCACAACCATCTGTAATGGGGCCTGGTGCCTTCTTCTGGACTGAAGAAAGAAGACTGTATACATAATAAGCAAATAAATAAATTTAAAAAAAAAAGAAAAAAAACCAAGTTAAAGAAGTGACCTTGAAAATTGTTCGCAGTGCTTTTGGCAGGCGCTAAATCTTTGCTTTCCAAGGAGCTTACATAAATGGTTAAGTGATAATAGAAGACCCCGGTAGGGGTTGGGTAGAGAGCAGAGCTGACAAGTCATAACTGAAAACAGGTGGCAAACAAGCACATGCACTATTACTGAGATTCACATGTAATCAGAGAAGTGTAAATCTAAGTAATGAAGCTCTTCATTGCCATGCTATAGTAAAATTTAATTATGTCAATAAATTCTGTTGTGTTCCTGTGGTGCTGCTAAAGATGGAAGATTATGCTGCACTCTGGAAAAGAACATTTAAAGAAAGGAACTACTGGTTATAGTTCTTATGTTATGAATACTAATAGTCTGATGGAGAGAGATTTAGGGAAGAACAGGATTCAGTAGGGCAGATCTGGGTTTCATCCGACTCTGCTCCTTAATATACTCTTGGGTGAGTTGCTAAGCCTCAGTGAACCTTGGTTTCTTCAGGTCTATGAACAAGGTATTTGGCTCTATGGCTCTGTGTGTTTATAAAACACCCAACCTGGAACCAGACACCTCGTCCTCACCCTGTAGGTACTTCATGAGTAAATGAATGGTGGTGCTGAAATGGCTTGGATAAAGATACATATAAAGGAAGACTGGAGGGAAATATGGAAAATGACTAGTGACTGTATTAGAATAGAGAATGAGTGATAAAATTTTCCCAGTTTTTATTTTGACTTTTAAATTATTATTTCTTCCTGTGGCCTCTACCTAAGGTGGAGGCAGATGTGAGGTCTCTTTCCATATTTGGTGGTTTTATATTTGTGGTGAACTATGCTCATACTTTATCCTTTTCTTCCTTTCTGGGAATCTTCTTGTACATCTTCACAAACTTCGAGACTTGATTACATAGCTGTATCAGTGTAAAAATTTGAGACTCGATAATGACCCCCTTTTATGGTGACACCAGTAGCCCCTCATTTGTACTCCATCACTAAGCTGTATCTCTAGTTACCCCTTCTTTTACTCATTTAAGCACTTTAAAGTCAGTCTTGTCCTCCCACCCCCAAATCTGTCAGCACATCTTAGTGATCGTAACCAGAATCCTATCATTTCTTTCTATGTCTGTGATTTCCTTATGGTCTCAGCCACTGTGGTGGTTTGAATAGGCATGACCACCATTGACTCGTGTATTTGAAGGCTTGGCCTATAAGGAGCAGCACTACTAGGAGGTGTAGATTTGTTGGAGGAAGTGTGTCACTGTGGAGGTGGGCTTTGAGGTCTTACATGCTCAAGGTAGGCCTAGTGTGACCGACTCTTTCTGCTGCCCGTGGAACAGAGATAGGACTCTCAGCTCCTTCTCCAGCATCATGCTTGCCTACATGCTGCCATGCTTCTCACCATGATGACAATGGATGGACCCTCTGAAACTGTCAGCCAGCCTCATCTAAACGTTTTTCTTCGTAAGAGTCACCGTTGTCCTGGTGTCTCCTCACAGCAATAGAAACAAACCCCAACTAAGACAACCGTTGACCATATCTGAAGAGATCCTGAATCAGCGTCGGCCCTGGTCTCTGTGTCCTTTCCAGTGTTTTCTCAACACAGTGACAAAGGTGAAAAGAGGATCAATCAGGTCACCACAGTGCCTAGAACCTCCCAGTGATTCCTCGTTGCATTCAGAGGAAAGTTCAAAATCCTTGATGGATTCATCTTCCCACACAACAGCTCACACCATCTGATCTTTAGGCTGCTGTTCGGCACTTTCTGTTTCCACTGTCTGACATCTTTCTGGAGGTGTTTACAGATGGCTCTTCCTGCCTGACAGCTGTGTCCCTGTCACCTTTTTCCTAAGGTGGGACTTTTTACATCTCTTACTCTTTTTTTTCTCTGTTCAAGGTCATGCAACCTATGTGTCAGCAAGTATGTAGACATTTATACATCTTTCCAATAAAAGTAACTGTGAGGCAAAACCTTTGTCTCTGTGGATTCTTTTTATGACCTTGTTAGTGTCTGGAATGTAACACATTGTCAATAATGCTTGTTGACTACTTCACTGTTTCATGTAAGTGAGCTTCAATCCCACACTTGTTTAAAGGCCTTTGAAGGATGCACAGATGGGTTTATATGCCTCTCACCCACCTTCAACCTTTTTCAAGAGCAGAACAAAGGTGATGAGCAGACCTAACAAGTAGATGGTGTTTATTGTCTTGAGTGTTCTTTTCTTGTTGAACTAGGATGGCACCCAAACTACATTAGATAGAGGGTAGGCTGGAAGGTCTCCCGTTGAGATCTGGGTGGTGACTTTTAGGAGTATATACTCTGTGTATCTAAGAACAAAATTAGGGCCTGCAGAGATTGCTCAGTAGAGACATGGCTCAGTCACTGAACTGGCAAGAGGTGATACAAACAAGAGCATCTGGATTTGAATCCCCAGCAAACACATAAAAGCCAGGAGAAGCTGGGCACGTCTATGACTTCAGAAGTGGGGTGGGGTATAGTAGAGACAGGCAGGTTCTGGGGTATGGCTAGCTAATCTATCTGAAACAATAAGTTCTACATTTGGCGTGGGCATGTGAACGCACGTGCACATGCATGTGCCCATACATACACATATGCACATGCACATGCACACACACCACACCACACACATACACACACAAGATGAAAATTGAAGTAATTTTAGTATTATACTTCAGAAAAAAAGTTTGGTGCCATGACTTACCCAACGTGAGGCAGTACACCAGAATAACCTCTTCCTTCTTTAACTTGCTTTTGTCAGAGCTATTCTTTGGCATTTCCAGAGGGAGTTAACATGGCATATAATTTATAGAGGAGACCAAGAATGGCTCTTCAGGTTCTTCCTTATTTAGCTTTCTACTTTAGCCAGGCATGATAACACATGCCTGGAGTCTCAGCATTGAGGAAATTGAAAGACAGCTTGGTCCACGTATTGTGACAGTGAGACCTTGTCTAAAAACAGACAGATAGATGGTCAGACTAAACAAACAAAGAAAAATCCCAAAAGATTTTTAGTTAGGTTACTGAAATTTTTGTTTTGAATTAATAATTAAAGAAATTTTGTTTACTTTTTATTTTGCAGAAGCAATAGTGGTAGAATTTCATAAGAAGATCAAAGACGCCTTTGAAGTGTTTGACCATGAAACGAATAATACAGTAGATGTGAGGTTTGGAAATATTTATTGTTCTTATAATTCTAAATTATGGACACAATTCATAGAAAAATAGAAAGAAGCTGTTTTCTTTCCCTCTCTTTTTTCCTATACTTTGTGTTTATTGTACTATTGAAGTATTTATTTTCTTGTGCTCTGCATTTCTGTTAAATACCACTTCAAGGTAAATTCTGTTTCCTATTTTTTGTAGTCTAGTTGATGGACTATGTTATCATTGTCTATTCCAACCTACAGACTGTGAGCCAATAAAGATGAACTTCATTATAGCTTTAGTGATGGCACATGTTTGGTACTCAATAAATCTCTGTTTAGTGAACAAAAGGAATTTGTATTTTAGAATGTACAAATATGGAATGGGGAGATGGCTCAGGCTGTGCAAGCATGAGAACCCAAGTTTGAATCCATAGTGCTGATGTAAAAGCTAGGTGTGGCCACACATACCCTTTACCCTAGCATTGGAGGGCAGAGACAAGCAGATCCCAGGAGTTCAGTGGTCAGTCTAGCTGAACAGCAGGCTTCAGGATCAGGGAGAGACTCTGTCTCAAGGGAATAAAGAAATCAATAGAAGAAAACATCTGATGTCCTCTCCTGCCCCCCTAATAGACATTCTACACATACTATAACAGTGGTTCTCAACCTCGCTTACACTGCAACCCTTTAATACACTTCCTCATGTTGTGATGACCCCAATCATAAAATTCTTTTTGTTGTTATTTCATAACCCTAATTTTGGTACTGTTATGAGTCATAATGTAAATCTTCGTGTTTTTGATAGTCTTCAGCAACCCCTGTGAAGGATCATTTGACTCCAAAGGGGCATGACCCACAGGTTGAGAAACTGCTGTACTATATTATATATAATAATATAGTATATATATATATACTGTAATGAATTATATATAGTATATATAATTTTTTAAAAAGATTATAAAAATATATAGATATGTATTATCAAGCTACCATTACAAAGAATATTTACAGAATGATATACTCTTCATGTAAAATAATAAATGGGCTAAGCAGAGTATGAAAAAGTTGAAAGACATGATGAATATAGGTAGGTAGAGCAGAATACAGGTGTGGTGGTCCATTCCTGTAATTGCAGCATTCAGGAGCTAGGTCAGGAGGATTATGAACTTGAAGTCAGCCTTAGCTAGGTAGGGAGACTCTATGTTAAGGGGTGAAAGTGAAGGAAATCACACAGGATTCTAATAGAAATTGTAGGATTTGTACCACATACAGCAAGGGAAAGCCATGAATTCATTCTTCCATGGGGTCAGGCAAAGTGAGGGTTATCTGATGAGTTCACAGTCTAAGAGCTTCTGGTACTCAGGCCAGCAAAGCAGTGGGGAGCCATATAAGGTGGTACACGAGGGAATTGCTTATACACCAGGCCACCCATCACTTCCTATTCTAGCCAGGCAGGTCCTGAGTGCTTCAGACTTGAGCCAAACTGAAGGAACAGTATGAGACTTCATCCGTAAATTGTAACTATATGCATTATTTCTCATACCTGAGAGGGGCTGAGATTAACAAGATTAACAAACAGCTTCGTGTCTTCATTTTGACATTTGTGAAGTTTTGTTTTGTACTCTAGTTTTTGTGTGACAGATAAGGTTGTGATAGACAAGGTGAAAGACAGGTACATTTGTCCCCATAACACCTCGCTTGTGGTGGGCTCTGCTGGGTACTAGTCTTGCTGAAACAAAATAGCCAACAGGAGCAACTCAGTTTGAGAGTACAGCCATCATGGCAGGGGTGTCATGGCAACAAGAGCTCGAGGTAGGCGGCCACATTACATCTATAGTCAGGAAGCAGAGAGAGAAATTTGAAATTCAGCTCACTCTTACGTTTTTCTTTTGTCCTGGGACTCAGCCTATAGAATGGTGCTGCCCAGTGTTAAGGAGACTGTTCCACCTCCAGTATCCTTCACAGACATGCCCAGAAACTGACCTAATCTTATCCCACAGGCATGCTGAAAGGCTTGTCTCTTAGTTGAGTCTAAATCCTGTCAAGATGATAATCTAGGTTAACCATCATGGGCATTGTGAGTCTGGTTCAGCTATTACAGTGGAAATGTGATGGGAACTTAAGGTTAGCATGACAGGACTGTGTGGCTCCCAGAAGCTCTGGTCACCTCTCATTCTGTAGGAACAGCTCTTCAAAGAGTGCTGAGCCTTGTCTGTGTGTCCTTGCAGGAAAACAAGCAGGGTTTTCTGGTAACACGGAGTGTGCAGCTGTATCTTGCGACTAGGTGGACTAGATAGACAATGGACAAGTTCTTGTCCTCTAACCTCTCCTTGAACCTCAATGGCTTTCTTCCTGGGCCAGGGGAAAAGTACTGTTGGGGAAGTATAACTTTAGATGTGTCTGTTTGGTTGGTATCTCTGGGGATGGATCCAAGGTCTTACGTGCCAGGCAAGCATTTTTCTGTTGAGCTACATATTCCCAGCCCTGCCCCACCTTTGTGAGGGAAAGAGGAAAGGAAAAAAGGTGTCCACAGTCTAGCTGACAGTCTAGCTTTCCTGTAATTGACATCTAGGAGCTTTGTGTCCATCACCTCGTTGTAATGTTTTTCTTTGTGTGAGAGGGGTAGCACCTCTGGTTTTGGAGACATTTGCTTAGTGACAAGTATGATTTTGCTTAGTGTCACCCCAGGGCTTTTCCAGTTCTAAGTGTCTGACTGTGCTTGGGAGCATGCCCTCCTGCCCTCATCCTCTCAATCCTCTCAGCCCAGCCCTTCACGGATTCCTAGGCTTGTTTCTTACTTTTATTTTTCTTGACAGTAGCAGTAAAAGGGAAATTTCCCATATCTCATGGGGAGGGGGGGTGCCAGCCAGGCCTTTTATGGTAAAAAGGGCCAATTCATGAAAAAAGGATGTGTTTATGGGCTTCAACTTTCCCCTATTCCTAAATAAAGCAATTTTGCTGAGGCCCCAAGGGATAGTGTATGTGCTTATAACTTAGTCTACTTTATTAAACAGATGGTTACTAAGAGAGTTGGCATTGTTCTTTGCACTAAAAGATTAATATTTGAACAGTAGTAACGTGGATGACTGTAGCTTTCTAATCTTGATTACTTACGCTATTTTTTTGTTTGTTTGTTTGCTTTGTTTTCCTTTTGAGACAGAGTCTTACTCTGTAGTGTAGGCTGGCCTCAAACTTGTGGCAGTCCTCTTGCCTCAGCCTCCAAGTGCTGGACTTCCACAGTGTATGCTGCTGTGCCGGACTCCTTAGACTGATTTAAACGGAACTTTGTTCTCATGTTTTTGTTCATTTTGAATCACCATTTATAAATTTGATATGAAGGACAGAGACACAAAAACTCTTGCCCACGGTTGCACAATAGTGAGCAGCAGAGTGGGAAGTCGAGGTTTTTTTTTTTTTTTGTTCAGCAGTGTTTTCCAAGTTGGCTGTACCCCAGCCCCAAGGGAGGCCCCTGGGAATGCTGTGGTGAGCAGGGTCAACTCTCTCCATTTATAAAAGCAGTTGCTCTGTTTGGAATTTATTATGGCTTATGATTAAAAGTGAAAGTCTAAATAGATGTTTATTTTTAACTTACTAAACAGTTTATATTTGCTGTTTGAATTGTTAGGCCTACTGTATAATATGCTACCTTTTGTACAATAGGGTCCAGTTTCAACTGGCTTCTGATCTATTGTGTTATCTTCAATAAGTTCAACACTCCATTAAGAGCTATCAATTTATAAAACACTTTAACATCTGATAAAGAGTTTATTACTCTTCAAACATTGAAGGGTTGGAGGCAGTATTCTGTGTAGACTGATTGGTGCAGAGGAGTGTCTTTGAGTCAGATATATTGGATCTTGCGCATAATCCCAGCACTTGGGAGACTGAGGCAGGAGGATAACCACAAGTTCAAAGCCAGCCTGGGCAACAAAATAAAATTTTTTAAAATGCCCCTCAAAACTTAAAAGAATGTTTTTGTATGTAGCAAGAGTGCCAAGGGTTTTACAGTGGCCTGCATTGGGCAGGAAGAGCTGTTCTGTGAGAGGAGACCAGGACATTGGCCTTGGGGAGGTATGGAATTGCTTTCCCTTGGTGTAGACCTGGGCTGCCTTGAATAGTTTATTGGTGGCTTCTTTCCTTTCCCCTTCTCTCTGCTGTGCACAAATGGAAAGATGTTTATTTTAATTTTTATCATAATAGATAGAAAAGAGGCCTGGTATTGGGAGTGCCAAGCGAGTGGTAGGTTTCTTGCTACTACGTGAAACTTTACGAAATGTCTCCTCTGCTTCTTCAGACCTGGGAATAAGCACACTTTCTGGGTCCCAACCTAATTTCTTGATGCTAAGGAACTTATGCTCTCTGTGGCCCTCCTTTCACTTCTGCCGCACAGGACTGGAAGGATAGGAAATTCTCCAGGTGGTTAAGAGACATCCCTGTACATCTTCAGTGTACCACATGTGACTGAGAAGTCAAAAGTATTTGTATTAATAAAACAGAGGACGTATTAGGTATATTTTTAAAGATTTATTTTGTTTAGTGTATATGTTTATACACAATTATGCACCATGTATATACAAATGTGTGTAGGTCCCTGTAGAGATTAGAAGAAAATGCCACGCTTCCTGCAAGTCACAGGCAATTGTGAGCCTGTTCCCCATGCGGGTGCTTTGGAACTGAACCCAAGACCTCTGTAAGAGCAGCCAATGCTCTTAACCACTGAGCTATATTTCCAGCCTCCAGTATTAAATAATTTCACTCTTAGTTTTGTCATGAGGATTTTAAAGTACATGATGTGTAACATTATTTTCCACAATTTTTATTTATATAAATGTACAATAGATTTATTTCTAGATGAATTAATAGGGCTAGTGAGATGACTCTGTGGGTAAAAGTGCTTACCTGATGACCCGTGTTTGATCCCTGGGATTCACAGAATGGAAAGAGAGCCAACTTCCACAAGTTGTCCCTTGACCGGTTTGTGTACACACACACACACACACACACACACACACACACACACACAC